TGCTACTCTATCTGAGGACCGACTGAACTACAAGCAACACTCTCGATTAGAAACTTTTTAAAGATTGTGGGTTTTTATCACGTTTGAGGATTCATTGACCAGTCCTGATTTCGTTCCAAAATGCTGCTATTATAAAAAAGCTACATTTGAGATGTCTCCAATCAGTTTTCCTTGAGTATGGTACAAAGATTTGGAATACAACCTTTTGGCTAGATTCAGCGTCCAAGATGCCTTGAACAACTTACGCAGAAATTTCCAGGAAGATATACAACACAGGCGTCAGTTTTACATTGGCATAATGAGACATACAGTTGTTTAATTATCATAGGGGATTCCTTTCTGTAAAAAAAAGAAGGGAAACATATTTTTTCGAGGGATCCATTAATATTAGCGACGCCCTTTATGCTGGTGGAAAAGAGTTCTAATGAAGATTTTTCCTTTTTGTTTTCAGCTCAAAAAGTTCAGGAAACTGAAGGCTCAGTATGGGGGTGCTCCTGGTTTGATGTGTGACAACATTAGGCCTGTACAACCGCTGCACAAACGCAAGGTGTACTCTGTCCTTTCCAGCCGGGAATGAAAGGACAATCGCCTTGTTTTACAAAGGCTCCAAATATAAACCGCAAAAGGAATGAAAATGTCGCTTTAACACTGCACATTATCACACTTCTTATCCGGAAGTGTCCTAATACAGCTCCGCATGCTGCAATACAAACTATCTCTGTTTGCAGCTGAGCCAGGGAAGCCAGAAATTTCGAACCTCATATTCGACACATCTAAAACCAATATTCTAGTCTAAGAACAAACTTCTGATAATTTTCTTCCCTTAAATCTTTCTTTCCGCCCATGAAACTTCTCATGTTTTGGTGAATCACGGCATGAATTCCTTAAATAGACAGCACATAAGAAATTTACAATTTTCATTATCGTCTGAATTCGATCCTGCTTTTGATATCATGCACATGCTTTAAACAGAGGTTAGATGTATCTGCTGGCTCAGCTGCTAAACCTAATCTGCTGTATTTTTCATGGAAAATAGGGGTAGTGAAAGGAGACGTGTGGATCTTACCATGATTTCGGTTCTATTTGCATTTGTTTTCATGCAACAGACGATTCTGTATCATCAACTGTTAAAACTATCATAGAGCATCCTGGCCTCTCTCCCGCCCCCTTCCGACCCCCCCTATCCGTGATTTCGGTCTCGGGTCAAGAGATATATCTTTTCCTGGTGAGAGAATTTCCTGTCTTTGAAGGGGGAGGGGGTGGTGGGAGTTAGGATTGATGCAGGGTAGGTGGACAGGGGGATGAAGCCGTATTT